TTCCAGCAAGCGGGACTGGCCTAGGGGATTTTATAGGGGTTTTAATTACTTTTAATTGGACACTTTCAAATATTTCGTTTTAATTAAATTTTAATTAGGTGTAATATGTATTTATGTTAGCTTTTTATCATTTGTCAGCCGCCCTGAGTCCGAAAGGAGAAGGGCGGGATATAAATGGAATTAATAATAATAATAATAAAATAACCATAGCTGTTGCTTTTTAGGATTGCCTTAGATGGACTGAGGATGATGATGATGATGATGATGATGTATCTTGCTTCACAGGACTCAAAACCGCCAGTGATTTCCTTGCAAAAACTGATAGTCCGAGAAGTAGCCAATGAGGAACGAGCCATGTTTTTAATCATTGCTTCCAAGAAAGGACCAGAAATGTATGAAATTCATACCAATTCCAAGGAGGAAAGGAATATCTGGATGACGCAAATTCGCAGGGCAGTGGAAAAGTGAGCATATAAAAACATGTTGTTCTGTTTCTCTCCTGTATTGAGTTGGTATCGGACTAAGTGGCTCTTTCCATGCCTGTTATTTTGCCACCATAAGGAAATAAAAGCAGTCCTTGGTTAATGACAGTAACTGGGGCCAGAATTTCTGTTGCTAAGCAATGGGGTCGTCAGGCACAAGGTCCGGTGACTGCGCTGCTCAGCAACAATAATCCCAATGCTCCCCATTGTCGTCATTAAGCGAGGATCTCTGGTTGTTAATTAAGACCCGGGTAGCTTGCAAACAGGCTCTGCGGGTAGCTTGCAAACAGGCTCTGCGACAGGCAGGAAAAGTGCATGGCATGAGCACTGTGGGGCCAGGAGTGGCTGTTGCCAGATGGGGAGGTTGTGCATGGTGCGAGGCCAGAGAGGCCTTCTGCTGGGCAAGGAAGGGTGCAAGTGATTTACTGGGCGTGACTTGCCACCTTCCTTGCCAGCTTCCCCATTGACTTTTCCTATGGAAAGCTGGCAGGGAAGATTGCAAATGGGATCACATCACCATATAGCAGTGATGGCGAACTTTTTAGAGACCGAGTGCCCAAACTGCAACCCAAAACCCACTTATGTATTGTCGGGTGCCAGGTGGGTGTGGCCAACTGGGTGGGCATGGCCAACTGGGTGGGCGTGGCCCATTGGGTGGGCGTGGCTGCGGTGGTAATAGCAGACTGGGTGGGACTAAAAAGTTCAATCAATCAATTCCAACTTTGCGAGATCTTTTTTTTGCCGTGAGAAGTTGAAATTGACTGATTGATTGAACCTTTTTTTTTTTTGCACACGGCAGCCGAAGCCTAAAACAAAAAGGTTTTATAAAACCCAGCTGAAGGCCTAGGACTGGGGCGACGGCGCGCATGCCCATAGAGAGGGCTCTGCGTGCCACCTGTGGCACGCGTGCCATAGGTTCGCCACCACAGCCATATAGTGGTGAGCTGATTGCCAAATGCCTGAGTTGCAATCATGGGACCGCAGGGTGCTGTAATAGCCAGAACTTTGAGGATTGGTTTGAAGCCTCCTTTTTTCAGCACCATCATAACTTCAAATGGTCACCAAACAAATGGTCGGTAAGTGAGAACTACTTCTATACGGTCTTGTTTGGATTAGTCTTGGTGTTTTTTTGCTCACCCGGATTTTATTTTCCCAGCTTGAGTGGGACAAGTAGGTGCAAAATTGGGTTTATGAAAAGAGTCTTCTTCCCAGCTAACTATGATGTTGGGGCCATTTTTGACCAGGGCTTCAAGGGTTTATGTTTTTTTGCAGTTGTCCTGATGAAGAGAATAGTGTCCTTGCCGATCCAGAAGAGGAAAAAAAGCAGGCTGAAGTGAGAACTGCAAAATTGAAAGAATTCCAAGGTAAAAGCTCTCGTCTTGCAAAACTGTACATCGTAAGAGGTACACGTGAGGATGGGCTTGCCTAGTTTTGGGGACTTGTTCTTTCCTTCCTTGCAAAATGTGCAATCTCTTAGAGGAAGAGGAAGATGAGGGAAGTTACTATCGGACCCTTCGGTTGTGAACTGATCTGTAAAAGCACTAGAGGTAGTCCTCGACATACAACCATTCATTTAGTGAGCAAAATTACAATGGGACTGAAAAAAGTGACATCATGGGTTCTCACACGATCATCACAGTATCCCCATGGTCACTGATAAAAATTCAGGCACTTGGCAACCAGCGTAGATTTACAATGGTTGCAGTGTCGAGTGTCCTTTTCCAACCTTCCCAGTTGGCATCCGGCAAGCAATTGGGGAAACTGGATTCGCTTAACGACTGTGGTTTTATTTATTGATTAAATTTATATACTGTCGGAGGCAACTCTGAGCAGCTTACAGTACAATAAATGCAGTGATTCGCTTAACAACCATGGCAAAAAGTCATAAAATTGGACACAACTCACTTAACAGCCTTTGGTCATAATTGCGGTTGTAAATTGGAGACTGTCTTTCTCTCTGTCATCTTGCAAACAGTACCTGAAGAATGGGTTGCTGGGCTTGCTGTTGTTGCAGGAGCCGCCATCCAAGCATAATGACACTGAGCTGTCTCTTCCCTTCTCCCTTCTCCTCCTCCACCCTCTAGAGCGTTTGAGCATGAAAGATGATCGGATCGTGCAAAGCCTAAAGGAGAAGCAGCAGATCTACCGGGAGATGGCAGATGTGAATGGTTTGGAGGACCTGACTATTGGCCCCCGCTTCCGCAACAGAGTGGATTCCCCAGAGTACCTGCAGGGGGAGTCCATCCTCAAGCAGGCAGTGATAGAAGGTGGGTGCGCTGGAGATGAAAGAACAGGAAAGATATTATACGATAGGACCACCTAATACGGGAAGTCCTTGACGTAGGATCACAACAGAGCCCAAACTCTCCGTTGCTAAGCAAGACAGTGGTAAAATTAACTTTGCCCCGCTTTGCGATCTTTCTCGCCACAATTGTTAAGTGAATCGCTGCAGTTGTTAAGTTAGTAACGTGGTTGTTAAGTGAATCTGGCTTCCCCATTGACTTTGCCTGTCAGAAGGTTGCGAAAGGGGATCACATGACCTGTACATTCAGCATACATAGTGGAGAGCATAATTAATCTGTTCGTTCATGGCAATAAACATCTTCTCCTCTTTGTCGTATTCGTCTGCCTTCCTGGCTGCTCTCTTCTAGTGGAGAGCCTTCAGAACCTGATCTTCGCCCAGCTGGCCAGTGCAAGCTCTCGTCCTGAAGATCCCAGTGGGCCTGGGTCGCTGAGGCGAGCTGAGACTTTCGGAGGATACGACAGTGCCATGACAGGTCTGTGAAAAGGAGGAACGGAGGAAGGAGCATGAGATGATGATGATGATAATAATAATAATAATAATAATAATAATAATAATAATAATAATAATAATAAGATGATGATGATGATGATGATGATGATGATGATGATGATAAATACAAAGACCTACAAATAGAAATAGAACCACTGTGGCAAAGGCAAGCAAGGGTAGTACCAATAGCAATAGGGGCCTTGGGTGCAATCCCAAAACAACTGGAGCACCACTTGAACACCATTGGCATTGACAAATTCGCCATTAGTCAATTGCAAAAGGCGGCCTTACTAGGAACCGCCTCCATCCTGCGGACGATATCTGTAATAACATCAAACATCCACATCTGCCTATCCCAGGTCCTGGGTAAGGACTCGATAGGTAGACAAAAATGCCATATCCAATCTGAACATCTGACTGACTGCGATGATCAATAATAATAATAATAATAATAATAATAATAATAATAATAATAATAATGATAATGATAATGATAATGATAATAATAATAATAATAATAATAATAAAAAGTTGGAAGGGGCCTTGGAGGTCATCTAGTCCAACCCCCTGCTCAGGCAGGAAACCCTATACCATTTCGGACAGTCTCTTCTTAAAAACTTCCAGTATTGGAGCATTCACCGCTTCTGGAGGCAGGTTGTTCCACTGGTTAATTGTTCTAACTGTCAGGAAGTTTCTCCTTAGTTCTAGGTTGCTTCTCTCCTTGATTAGTTTCCATCCGTTGCTTCTTGTCCTGCCTTCAGGTGCTTTGGAAAATAGCTTGACTCCCTCTTCTTTGTGGCAGCCCCTGAGATACTGGAACACTGCTATCATGTCCCCCCTCGTCCTTCTCTTCATTAAACTAGACATACCCAATCCCAGCAGCCTTTCCTTATATGCTTTAGCCTCCAGATCTGATAAAGGAATGAGTGACCTGTGATTACTGCTCACACTGCAGACAGAATGCCATTGTATGGAAATGTTTTAAATCCTGTCTACTTAGTTTGTACTGTTTCAGTCTCTGCACGAGCTCCATTAGTGTTGAATTATCTTGCAGTGGTCTTTCCCCCCCCTAATTAATGTTAAATGCAGCCCACCTCATCATCCAAACAACACTGGGTGGCTTACAATACAATAAAAGCGCAAATATAAACCATATATAAAGCAAAAAAACAAATAGAGAGTTTAATTTCCATGGGTCTTAGATTTATTTATGTAACTGAGGGCAAATAGGTTAAAAACAGAGAAAAAAGAAGAGTCTTGAAATATGGGGAATTCTGAATCTTGCAGTGTTTACATCTGTAGGTTAGGGGTAATGAGAGCTTTTCCAACAGAGTTTGGATAGTCTGTAGGCCAATGGTTGCCTTTTATCTTTCAGCTGGTAGCTTCAAGAAGAAAGTCTGTGGCGGAGAGCCAAGGGTGCCAGATCAGCGAGGCACCCCAGCCAATTCAGAGCAAGTGCAACAAGAACTCCCATCTGCTGGAGAGGAAGGGCTGTGTTTGGTAGGTGGAATTTGCTCTCCAAAGTCTCTGTATTTATTCCCTGACCTTGTTGGAAAGAGTATTGGGAACAGTGATGGCTATGGACTTCTTTTTCCCACGCAGTTTTTAGCTCAGTTTGATAAAAAATCAGGCTTTTCCTTCCTGCCCTTTAGCAGTTGAAAAATCTGAAAGGCATACACACTGGAATGAAATGAACATATTTACGTAACTCTTGTGCACATTGCAGACTTTTATCCTATGGAGTCCTTGGTGCTCTCTTGAGTTTAGTTGTTTGCTTGCAGATGTTTTATTACCTGAGTAGATAACATCATTATTGCTAGGGAGTCTGGGATTTGCTTCCTGATTATATACAGTAGCTTTCCCTACCAGTGTGCATTCATGAATATCAATAGCAACTACCAATGTTGGTGGGACTATGTTTTCTTTCTCCTTAGTAGTTTCTTGATCATAATATTGTTTTCTGTTTGTTTGTTTGATTGTTTGTATGTATGGTGTTAATCCCTGCTTATTTGGGTGTTGGTTGTTGGAAAGGATTGTGTTCCCCTCTGTTTTGTTCGTAGCATTTATATTCTCTTTTGAATGTTACGTAAATGTGGTTTATCTCTCTGTGCCTATTGATGGCAGGTTTGTCTAAATGCCAAGTTTCCAGAAATTCCTTAGCATTTTTGGATTTAGCTTGATCTAGAATGCTTATAGTTTTTCAGTTGAAACCATGATTGAGTCTGTCCATGTGTTGTGAGTTTTCATTGTGTCTTCTGACTGCTATTGATATTCATGAATGCACTCTGATCTGCTTCTCTGTCCTAACATGGTGGCTATTACAGACCTTATATTTGTTGTAGGCTCTTGTTTTTTCTTCTTGGGTTACTGAGTATTTTGGTTCACTCAAGATCTTTTTGTGGGCTTTGCCACAATAAAAAAGGACCAAGTGACATGGCCATGCCTTTTCTGATGTTACCACCTTATGTCCACCTGTTGTCCTCAGAAGGACACATTATGTTGCCCCCCTTACCTTTCAGCAAATATATATCTCTGGTTTGAGGTCTGGAAAGGCTTCCTTCACATCCCCAGTCCACTGCCAAACTTACTACAATGGCTTTGGCCAGCCAGTATCTCACAGTATTTCCTGTTTTACAGAATTATGAAAGAGCAAATACGATGGGAAGACTCTGGAACCTTTAAAAGTCTTTGGAACTGTACAGGCTGCTATTGGGGAATGATATAAGCCCTCCCTTGTAAACCTTTTGGTCTTATGTATTTGGCTGAACAATGCATTGAATGCAAACCCAGTTCCCATGTTCACATAATGTGCCTGAACAATTAAGTACTGTATATTACGACTTAATGCAATGGTTCTGCTCCCAAGGCATGCTAAGATAATGGCTGGGTTTCTACAGTGGGCTGAACCACAGACTTGTCAACCCCATTTTAGCTTAGTTTGGTATGTAATGTGAACCCAGCTTCTCTGTTTCTCCCCCCTGTCAGGTCAGTAACACAAGAATGGAGCATCACAGCAGCTTGCACCCACTGCTGGGGACTGAATCAGAGGTATTGGCTAATTATTTCCTCCATGATGGTGGCGAGCAGGAGAGCGATGCTTTTTTCAGTTTGAGGGCTGCTTTGGGTCTTTGCTATGCTAACTGCCTTATTCCAGAGAGTGGGGAAAAACCAGGTCAAAACCCAAATTTGATTTTATTTAGTTGCATTGTTTATTATTGTTACTGTTATTATTAGGCTGTCCACTCCAAAAGAATCTAAAAGCATTAAATGGAGTTAATTAAATTAAACACAGATCATTTTCAATTTCGTTAATATTTATTCTTTTTCTGATACATTAGAAATTATAACTCATGTGCAAGTTCTGGGATTTGGGGTGTTTCTGATGTGTATTTTAAAGTCACGGGCCCAAACCAACATTTGTTTTTCCCCAGCCATTGATATGACAGCATAGTTACATTTGCAGAGCAGTTATGTTCATCCCAAAGTGGATTTCGAGAAGGAGGGGCAGGGGGGGGGAAGAGAGAGACTGGGGTTCTGATGGAAGAAACCTAACCTACTTGGGCCTATTTATGGCCTCCTTGTAGGTAGAAATAAGTTGTTGGTTAATGATACTTGGTGGCATGAATGGCAGAGCTCATGAAGACCGGATGTTAGGTAACACCCTCCTCTTTGTGTTTTCCCTCAGCTTGTTCGGAGAATTCAAACACTCTTGCAATTGCTGCTTAGTCTCCAGGTAAAGTACTACTGTCCTTTCCCACCACTACCCTTCAATTTTTGGGCTTTTATGATTTGGTTGGCGGAGCAAGAAGGCCTAGCAAAATAATAAGATGAGCTTTGACCTGAGTGGAGAAGTCTTGAAGAAGGAGGGAGAAGAAAGTACCTTTTCCAGTCTAGCCTTCATTAAAAACTCTTCAGATCCTATTTAGTGTCTTGTATGACATGACCATGTTTAAAAAAAAATTCTCCACAACTCTGAAAGGAGACTTAAGGGACTTTTTGTTTATTCCTGAACTCATTATTCCTCCTCCCTAGGGCTGTAACCATTAACTGCCCTTTTGTTTTAAATAAGAATAATGATTATAGTTTTACTTACAAGTGTTTTGTTACTTGTCATTCATTTTGAGAGGATTGTTCTGGAGGGAGAATTACGATAAATAAGTGGGGGGGGAGCTAAACTTTCTGCTGGAGCATTAAGGGGGGCATAGTTAAAGCCATCTCTCTTGGAGCATTTCCACCGAACTGTAACTCTTGGCACCCGGCCTGCGGGTTTTCCCTTCTCCTAGTTTTTTTTGATGGGGAAAGCTCAGGGGTTCACCTTCCCCCCTCCCTTTTTAGGCAGTGGCGGCCCAGCAAGATAGCTACATTGAGTTGCAGAAGCAGTTCCGGCTGCAATCCACGCGAGGGAATTTGCTGCTGGAACAGGAGAGGCAGCGCAATTTTGAGAAGCAGCGGGAGGAACTGGCCAATGTGCAGAAATTGCAGAGCCAGTTGAAGACTGAGCAGCAGCGCTGGGAACGAGACTGCGACCGCCAGCGGCGGCAGATGGAGGTGGAGAAGAACCAGTTACAGGAGCGGGAGGAGGAGGCACGGCAGCTGACGGAGCGTCTGAACCAAGAACGGGAGGAGCTGGAGCGGCAGCGCGAGGCCTACCAGCATGACTTGGAGAGGCTGCGGGAATCCCAGCGAGCCGTTGAGAAGGAGCGGGAACGTCTGGAACAGCTGCGCAAGCTGAAGAAGCCGCATCTAGTCTCGGGTGCCTTCTCGCCTGAGGCAGGCCAAGTGAGTGCTGGAATGCCTACTGCAGGGGTCTTCAAACTTGTCCCTTTTATGACTTGTGGACTTCCAGAATTCCTCAGCCAGGCACGCGTGCCTGGCTGAGGAATTCTGGGAGTTGAAGTCCACAAATCATAAAAGGGCCAAGTTTGAAGACCCCTGGCCTATTGGAAAGATACAGGTAGCCCTCGATTTACAAACATTCGTTTAGCGACCACTTGAAGTTACAACAGCAGTGCAAAAAGTGACTTGTATCTATTTACAACGGTTGCAGCATCCTGGGTTCGTACGATCACCATTTGCAACCTTCCCAGCTTCTGACAAGCAAAGTCAATGGGGGAAGCTGGATTTGCTTAATGACCGCATGAACAACTGCAATGATTCACTTAATAACCATGGCAAAAAAGGTCATAAAATCAGGCATGACCCAGTTAACAATCACCTTGCTTAGCAATGGCAATTCTGGTCCCAATTGTGGTTGGAAGTTGAGGACTACCTGTATAAGGAAGCTGCATTTATTGCCTCTAATAATTAGAAGCATTAGTAACCAGGAGATCCCTGGTGGCGCAGTGGTTATAATGCAGTATTTCGGGCTAATTTAGCCCACTGCCAGGAGTTCGATCCTCACCGGCTGAAGGTTGACTCGGCCTTCCATCCTTCCGAGGTCGGTAAAATGAAGACCCAGATTGTTGGGGCGATAGGCTGACATTTGTAAACCGCTTAGAGAGTGCTATAAAGTACGGTGAAGCAGTATATAAGTCTAGGTGCTACTGCTATTACTATTATAGAATCTGTCAATAAAACCTGCACATTCTATACTTTGCTGTAATAGGGCACTGCTATAGACTGGGAGTTTTGAAAACTAAACCTGAGCATTGATAATCTGCTGCCACTCCCATTTCTTTCCACTCTTACCTTCAAGACCCTGATCTTAGAAGTTTGATTCCTCTAGAGCAGGGGTGTCAAACTGCCGGCCCGCGGGCTGGATGCATCATAGCGAAACCGCACCCACCCCATTGCCGGCAGTCGCGATACGTCGCAACACGTCTCGCAACGTTGCGAGTTTGACATCCCTGCTCTATAGGTAAATGACCAATATCTTCCATTTTTCCCAGGCGCATGGCCTGAGCCACTCTGTCAGCTTCAATGGAGACGGTATGGAAGGGACCACGCTGCCTACAAAGCCAGGTGGACGAGCCAGCATCACTGGGATGGAATACCCGGAGCGAGGAGAATTGGTGCGAAAGGACAGTGCTGCATTGGAGGGAGGCCGCCCCATTCTGGTCCTCAAGAATGAGGTGCCCATCCACTTGTTGAGTACCACCAACCAGAGCCAAAAACAGGCAGCTGTGCAGCAGCAGATCCCCACCAAGCTGGCCATTCTGACCAAGGGCAGCAAGGAAAAAAGTGGAAAGGCTGTCAAGGTGACTTCCCACAGGACTGAAAGTTCAAGTAAGTTGTAGAGAACCCTCGGACAGAGATAGGCTAGGAGCCATGACGGAAACTACTGATGGTACCGAAACCTAGATAGAAGTCCTGAATGGCGGTGTTCCATTTGTTGAATTTCCTCAATATCTGTTATAGCCTTCCTCAGCCATTTACCTTCCTGTTGTGCTAGAGCTTCAATCCCCAACTTTATATGCAGAGAAGGGAATTCTGGAAATTATCAGATGAGGAAAATCTACTTTACTAGCCTATTAAAATGTTCTGCCTTTGTTATTCTGAGAACTGTAAAATAATGTATGTGATGGGTGGATCTTCTTCTTCTTCTTCTTGTGCCATATCCGTTATCGGACGTTGGCGATCATGTTGGCGATCCTGTTTTTATCAGCAGCTGCACGAAAAAGTGCTGCTGAGCTTTGTCCAAACCAATCCCTTAGATTTTGAAGCCATAATGTTCTTCTTTTGCTTGGACCTCGTTTGCCTTCAATCTTTCCCTGGAGGATTAAATGGAGTATGCCGTATTTTTCTGGGTGTCGCATCACAGGTCCGAAATATTCTAATTTTCGTTTTTTAATTGTTTTGATGATTTCCCTTGGCTTTCCCAGGCGGCTTATCACCTCCTCATTTCTGATCTTGTCAACCCAGTTTATACGTAACAGCCACCTGTAAATCCACATTTCAAATGCTTCTAGTCTCTTCAGGTGGCCTTCTGTCAGAGACCAACTCTCTACTCCATAGAGCAGGACAGACAGGTTTTTTGTGGCAAAAATTTGCTCCTCTTTTGAGTGTGTTTTCTGCCAATTTTGTGGGCGAGTCTGAAGTGACTGGGAACGGGCCAGATTTCTTTCACACAAATTAGATGCTATGCCACCATGTTCCTTGAGGCTGCTAGAAGTTTAAAACATTATAGTTCCTAGTTGCAAAACTGATGTCTTTCTCTGCAGTAAACCATGGTTTACCCTGACCAGTTTGTTGAATATTAGTTATAGCGCTCCTAATATCATAATCAAAAGTAGGACATACAAATAATAATGGCTGGGTTCAGATCATGATCCAGTACCCCCAAACCAAAGCAATGAGGATTCTGCCTTAATGCATTTCATGGATCTCTCTCAACATGCGTTTATTAAAATTAGTTATTGTTGACAAAGAAGTCTTATTTAGTTGACAAGAGCTATGATTGAATGCCCAGTGATTCCTTTACTCTCATCGATCAGCTGAATTTTTCTCTTTTCATTTCTGTTTGTAACGTTAGGTGATGTGAGGCCGTTCCCAGTTTCCAAGATGGTTACCAAGGAAGAATCTCAGTCTCGAAACAGACGTTCCGCAAGTCCCGTCTTTCTGCATAGCCAGAATGTTGCCTTCCTTCCAGGTAAAACACACCGACAAGCTTATCTGGGGTAGCTGATCTGTTACTATGCTGCAGAATGACCTTTTTCCTCTACTTTTTTTCCCGGCAGAACTGGCTGGTGCTGCTGAGAGCAGCCATCTGGAAGCACCACCTACCTCTGTTGGTCCCATAAAGCCCAACAGCATTCATGTCCTTCCACCTGCCCTGGATGACGCTAGCAAAGATGATGTTATTTTTTTCTGATCCATACCAAGAAGGTCTGCCTCTTTGCCCACATGGGTGTCGGAAGGCTCTGCCTTGCCTCAGCTGCATAAATCTGAAGGCAGAGCTGCAAGAATTTCCCCCGGAAATGATTCAAAATGAGGATATTGTTATGGGGCTTCATGTTACAATCTTGGCTCTGCTTACAATTGTTCCTTGGACTAGAACATTGTTCTAGTTTTCTTTTGAGTTCCAAGGCAAGCTTTTAAAGTAACCTTCTTGAGGGGTAGGGTACGAGAAGGCCCTTAACTTATTCTTCACATTCAACCATAAGGTGGCCCTTGGGACTCTGTGTAGGACCAAACAAAGGTGTTGATGGTATTAGGGACTTTATGGAGGGAATCTGAGGGAATTAGATACGCCTTGGCCGGTTGCACAAAGCACCTCATCTCCCCCGAGGACTCATTTTTCTTCCTCCAGTTGAAGGGAAATCCTCCAGTGCAAACTGGGTCCTGGATTTTTGTTCCTGCTGAAGACCCTCGCTGCACTAACTAGCCCACACAGCAGCAGGCTCAATTTTCCAGACCGTTTCTGGATATTTTGGATGGGGTGGGGGGTTGGGGGGGAAAACACCGGTCAGAATTACATTGGATGCCAATTTGTTTCTGGCCGATTGTTCAAACGAAGGAAATGAAGACATTCTTAACTTAATAACTGATCAAGACGTTTTGAGTGGAGCTTCTTTCTCACCAAAAGATGTCATTCCCTGTGGGAACATCCATTGCCTCGCTTCTGTGTCTGTTCCTCACGTCACAAAAATACTGGAGATGCAAGCTGCTGAAGTTTTAACTTTTCCCCAAATTTACACGGTGTACATTGTATTTGTGTCCTGGCATCACAAGTGCTTGTTTTGAGAGTGAGTCATGGAAAAGACTGATTTCTTCCACCTTGTTGCATATGAATACTGTCTCAAGGTGAAACACTGGTACTTCGGCTCTTGTTTTGTTATGGGGCCTGTCTACGTTCTTTCGACTGTAAGAAGATGTTGGTTTCCTTTCAGAGCCATTTTGAAGTTGGGAGGTCAGAAGGACCGGCTTTGTAAGCAGGGCCTATTACAGTCCAACGCATGGCAGAAACCATGGTGCCATTCACTTTAATATGACCCCCCCTTCCCAGCTTAGAAAACCATCATCCAGAATCTGATGATGATGTCATTAAGATTACAGTAGGCAGCCATGAAAGAAAATGGTTTGTTTGAATTAGCTTTTAAGCTCTTTGTGTAGATCTATCAGCTGCATCACAAAAAAAAAAATCCTTTAAGTAATTTTATTGTACTTGCAATGTTTGTGAATTGCATTCTGACTGACCATTTGTGCCATGCTTATCAGTGTTTTCTGATATATATATGGATGGTGTGAGACCGAACCCAAGCACTTTAGAATATGGATGGCATTTTTAATTCCTTTCTGTCTTACTGATGAACAAAAAGGCTTCTCTGTAGTAAGAAGTGGCTAAAACTTTATCGAGAAGTCCTCTGCCTCTAGTGGCTTAAGTCTAAAAAAGCTCATTTTGTGCTTTACTTCTCTTGTGTGATGACGCCTGAAGCTTCTTCAACGGATTTTTAAGTTGAAGGGTCCCCGCAACTATCTCTTTAGATAAAATCCTAGCAACTTTGTACATAGATCCTCTTTTAAGTGGTTATTACATAGCAATCATTCTATGTAACTCTCTTTTTTAATTATTTGTAAAGTTGATGGTTTTCAGTGTTTAATATTTTTTGTCAAATTTGTGCACTACTGTAATGATCAAATGGGATCCTGGCACACCAAATGATGGCTATTTTTAAGCAATGATTGCAACTGTTTCTCTACTGTAGGATAATTGTGGAATCTCAGATGCAACTGAAACCTGAATCTGTTTGACTCAATCCATGCAACCATAAATCATAAAGTGAACCTTAAAATGTGTCCTACTTTTGAAGTGTTAGCTTTGTTTGAAATTACCACTACTACTACTACTACTACTACTACTACTACTACTACTACTACTAATAATAATAATAATAATAATAATAATAATAATAATGAAGTTGGAAGGGACTTTGGAGGTCATCTAGTCCAACCCCCTGCTCAGGCAGGAAACCCTATACCATTTCAGACAAATGGCTGTCCAGTCTCTTCTTAAAAACTTCCGGTGTTGGAGCATTCACAGCTTCTGGAGGCAGGTTGTTCTACTGATTAATTGTTCTAACTGTCAAGAAGTTTCTCCTTAGTTCTAGGTTGCTTCTCTCCTTGATTAGTTTCCATCCGTTGCTTCTTGTCCTGCCTTCAGGCGCTTTGGAGAATAGCTTGACTCCCTCTTCTTTGTGGCAGCCCCGGTGATACTGGAACACTGCTATCATGTCTCCCCTCGTCCTTCTCTTCATTAAATTAGACATACCCAATTCCAGCAACCGTTCCTTATATGTTTTAGCCTCCAGTCCCCTAATCATCTTTGTTGCTCTTCTCTGATATGATTGTGTTGGCTGTTGCCAAAACAAAACAAACTATGGTCTCCTTCATATCACGTTAGATACTTAATGAATTATAATCCTGATAGATATATAGATCTTTGTTGAATCCTTCTTTTAGGATTCTTGTCTGAGAAAGGGTTTCAGGACTTCTTAATGGCTAGCAAGCTAAGCTCTCACATGTTGGAGATCAGATGTGTTGGCCCTGAAATTCAAGGATGTGGATGAAAGCCATAGAAACTAGCGCAAAAGGAGTGAATCGTGAAAGAGGTTCTATGATGTGAAAACATAATTATGTCCAGAAGTGGCAATGCCTCCACTGTATTGTCAATTGGGCAGCTGCTGCTGCCGCCATCTTTAATGCCCTAAGATTTCTCTGAAGTGGAATGTGAGTTTATTTGCTTGCTATTTTGGTGCCTTCTAGCCAGTGTTGACTCCTGCCAACTGCCTGTACCAGTCCCTGCAGCTTTCTTGGCAAGGTTTTTCAGCAGTGGTTTGCCATTGCCTCCAACCTAGGGCTGAGAAAGTGACCGGCCCAAGGTCACCCAACTGGCTTTGTACCTAATGCAGGATTAGAACTCATGGTCTAGCTTCTACCCTGATGCCTGAACCACTACACCAAACTGGCTCTCTGAAACTGAATATAGGATTGCGTACTCCAGATAAACATTTGATGAAAAGATAAATGTTCAGGGCTATATCAACGGAGCCAATCAGCTAAGGAAAATTGTTAAGATTGTATTTTTTATTATCAGCCCTAATTGTTTCACATTAGAATGATGTACATATATAGCAAGACTGTATTCTTCAGATAAAAAAGCCAAATTATTTAACTAGACAGGGCAGACACCTGCTCCTTGAGGAATTACAAGGTGGTTACAGCTGGTTGAAATTACAACAGACTGTTAAAAACAGCTGCATACAACTGGTCCTTGAGTTTATGACTGCCGCCCCCTTCCCCGCGTTCCTGTGATTTGGGCGCAAGGCAATTGGCTCCCATTTATGACTGATTGTAGCATCCTGTGAACATGTGACCACAATTTGTGACGTTTTCACCAGTTTCTGGGTTTTCTTGCAATTTCCAGCAAAAAAAAATGCCCATTTAGTAAGAACAGATTTGCTTAACAACCATGTTATTCGTTTAACAACCAGAGTGACTCACTTTACCACCATTGTAAAAACAATTGTAAAATCAAGTCTGGTTATGTGGTGCTTTGACTTGCAATTGCAATGACTGTAACTGAAATTCCAGGCTCCAATGTGGTTGTAAGTCAAGGACTACCTATACACAGAGTGAAGCAGGTAAACTAAACTCTATAAGGTCTCACAAACTCATCCTCCAGGAAAGTGCCTATGATTTATATAGAAGGAGCACCCTGTTTTAATAGAAGAACCTAATGCCAATCTAGCCTCCACCATAATAGGAATTACTCTCCCCATTTAAACAGAGATTATGTAACATTTTATGAATTCCTGCGATAGCCCCCCTTCTCCATTCAATCCAGTACTGTGAAGTTGCTGTTCAAACTGCTGCACAACTGCCCCCTGCATAGTTTTGATAGATCCCAATGAAGGAAGAAATACTTCCCATGAGGCCCACAAACCATGGAGAAAACTTTCCAGCCCAAAGAATTCCTGGAGGCAACCAGTGGATGGCATTGGCGAGGTCAGCCAGGTTGCTGATGATGGTCAAGGCTTGTATGTGCATTTCAGCCCTTGTTTTCTGATTGAAGTCTCTGCAAACAAGACATGGAGAGAAAAATACATTCGCTGAGCTTATTTGTTCATACCAGCATGGGAGGAAGAAGAAAACTAATGATTTATCCTTGTCCTGAAATAATGTTTTCACTCTTGGCAACAACTGAAGCATTCAAGAAGAAATCCTCATGTGGGGATAAGCTAAAGTTCTACTTTTGTCCCAAACAGAATAATAAATGTGTACTAACTGGACTATGTATTGATTTGTACCATAAAAGAACAGCAGCATAATCCAAAAACATATCTTGATTTATTAACTAAGTTTTGGAAGCAGACACTAAGTAAGTAAGTAAAGAAGGAAGGAACGGAGGGAAGGCAAAGAACAAGGAAAATTTAATACAAATTCCCTTAACCTTCTGAATTGACTCTTAACTTTTCTGGAAAGTGTTCCAATGTGTGCCGGTATGCCAAATAGAGTATCCCTGTTAATTGGCGAGAAAAAAAATGCTTTCAGGGCAAGGAGTCATACCTGGATTCTGTATGCTGCTTTCGTCTTAGGAGTAATAAAATTCTGAGAGATCTGGAATGAGAACATAAAGACAAAATTTTAGCTGCAGCCCATATTTCTGAAGCAAAAAAGAGTTCCCTGTCCTTAATATTGCTTGAATTCTGTGATCCTAGAGAGCCTTCTTGATACTCCAGATATATGGAAAGAGGAAAGCATGAGAACTTTCTCAATCAGAATCAAGCTTGGAGGAATGGTAAACTGAGTCCCAATTATTCAAGTACTTTGAGGAACTAGATTCCAGGTAGTCACTGTCTTCTCTCTCCCTCCCTCCCTCCCCCCCCCTCCCTCCCCCTCATCTACTCCTTACCGTGCAATCCCCAGCAGCAGAGAGAAGCCCCAGAGAGTTGTACTGAGTGTCCACCACCTACTTGAGTTGGCATGGATAATTTCAGCATCAGCAGCCCAGGCCATATGCTCGCAGGGGTAATAAAGCTGGTCAGCTATATTGTTGAAGATGGAAAGCCAGCGCATTGCTGTATCCTTCTCCTGCAATGGGATATTAAGCAAGCTTTAAGTGTTGATTTCTCAGTTCCATCTTCTCCTTCCCTCTTCTTCTGGTCTGGTGACCTGTGCATTACATTTTGGCATTTAGATGAAAGATTTATTAGTACACAGGCATCCTAAATCAGGCTTGAGATTTGATCAGTACTAAGTATTAGTTGCAAAATATTGCAAAATGGACCTTCTGGGCATTCTGAGTTTGAGAATGACCTATATATTTTAATAGTAATTTTGAGAATGGCCTACAAGTGTGGTATGAAATGCTTAATGTACAGAAGATCTCCAGACTCTGACATTGTCAGTTAAAATGCCAGGTAGCAGAAAAGGCCACTGCAGCTGCCAATCAGAGGAAGTAAACAGGCTAATTAAGAGGCAGCTTCCCATTTGTTGCAAACAAATGATGGCTGTAATCTGGGGACAAAATTTGTTCTCCATGCTTTTCCCTCATGCAGTCAAAAGGTGATTACTAACAGTGATCTCATTGTCCTTCCCTTTTGATGTAAATAAGTAATCCTGTTGCCTTGGAGGTAACTATCTTGACATTGTAAAATTGGTCTATTTTTATTCTTGTCAGAAAATTCCCACTCCTTCAGAGCAGAAATTGCCTGTTGTCCACCAGATTATAAGGGATTAAATAAAGTGCTGTTTTTGATGACATTGTCTGAACATTGAAATTTAAACCACTTACTTCAAGCCGCACTTCTTTCTCTATCTGAAAATTCCTCCCTTCATCCCCGGTATTTTTGATCATCTCAAATATCCTTTCTCATTCAGTATTTCATACGAAGTCTGAGTTACAAATACAAGAAACTCTATAACCTAGACTGTGAAACAGTAGAACTCTGTTAAATTTGTTACTAAATTTAGAGATGGTTGGATTCAGTTGGATTAAGTTATGCTGCTCTCCAATGTTCCTTGCAACTTGTAGCAACGTTCTTGTAACTGAAATGCTTTGAAAGTCTCACATACAGTATCCCTGTACTTCCATGAAATGGTGATGGATAACAACAGCTGCAAATAACAGGAAAGTCAATGGGGAAGGGCCGTACAGTAGTGAGCATCCTTTGCGCTAAGTGACAACATAGTGACGTGATTTCATCTAGACAACATAGCCCTATTTTAGTAAGACAACAGTCTCATAAACTACAAGCTTAGTCTGATTTATATAGAAGACCTGTAAGGTCCCTTCCGGCCTATGAGACAATGTTCTATGACATTTTGAATAATAGCAGAAAATGCTACAACAAATATAGGTATGAGTATTGTGATGAGGAAAGCAACATCTAGATTTTTGTTTTCGATTGTTGTTCACCAACAATATATTCAGAGGCATATTTCTTTAAACAACTTTAGCTGTTCATAGATGTATATTCAGTGATGGGTTTTGCTTATTGTTGCTTGCATTTTTATTCTAATATCTTTCTTGCATTAAGGAGACCTTGGATCAGGATAAAATTTAACTTTTTTTGCAAATGCCCATATTAACATTCAAAGCTTTCAACTTTGTGGACAACATGCACTTTCTGGGATGTCTTACCTTGTTCCCCAGTCCATATTGGCAGCTATAGGAAAGCATGGTTAGGTCGTCAAAAAGGCGTAGTACTGTTCGACAGTGACTCAGTTGTGCTGAGACAGCCAGGAGGCCCTGACCAAGTGGTGATTCTCCAGGTTGTCTTCTGGCCACCAAAATCCCTCCAGCCAGCTGGCAGCCATAACAGATGGTACGTATCTTATGTGGGAAGATTTATTGTATAAAGCATTACTACCATTTGCTAGTTATATTTTTATTAAAGAGCCATGTATTTCCAGAAAATTAAAGTTTGGAGAACAGGACAAAATTAAAAGGTGTTCTGTAGGCCATATTTTTTCATATCCTCTTACTATTGGCAAATAGTTCACAAATATCTTTAAATTGGGAGGGTCAATTTCAAAGATAAGCTACCTTTTTTTTCTCCCCGCTCGAATTTATTATTTTTTAAAAAAACTAATTGGCTCCTGTTTTACTAAAATGTTATAGATGATTGAAACAATATATTTCAACTTTTAGCATACTAAATTTTAGAGGAACATGATATGGTAAAATCTATTCTTTCATGTATGTGAAGGATTTGTTTATAATTTGGAGAACAAGGGATTGTACTACATTTGAGGCTAGATTTGAGGGCCTCTGTGAAATATTCTTTGGGGAGGGGTCACCAATATGATAGCCTTAGAACCTCAAAATATGTGTACTACTAAAACTCTTGTTCCTGTAATCTTTGAGTAAAACAGTGCACCATAGAGCAACGATTTTTGAACCAAGGTACCTTAAATGGGCTAATTTACTGAAAATGTCCACAATCTGGGACATAAGACTCTCATGGAACTAAAATTTGTCAAATGGCATATAACATTTTAGAACATAAAAATGATCGTGGCATAGTTTATAACACAATACAAAATATCACAAAACATTTCCTGTGCTGATGTTTGTGCTATCTTCAACATAGGTTTCCTTCAAGGCAGATATACCTTTGAATATCCCTGAATTTTTAAGAACTTTTCAAGTACATTCAAAGTTCTGTCCTTGTTGAAGGCACTGAGGAATCTGGTAAGGAAATATTTTTGAAATGATGATCCAAAGGGTCATGGGTTGTCTAATCCCAGCTGTAGTGGGCAGGGATCTCTTAGGTATCTATATGGTCCCATAAATTAGAAGTGGAAGACAATGCAGCAAAATAAATGTTAGTTAAAAAAAATAAAACTGCTAGAAGCGTAATTAGTTGTTAGTGCCTTTTCATATCGAATTGCATGCTTTGTACTTGTTTTGTGCACATTTGTGTGTACATTGTACCTGCATATATGAATTTTAAAAGCATCATGAGAAACAGATATTTATAGTTTACAGATCCAATGTTAAACAAGAGATAAGCATACAATGCAGCAAACACTGTGGTATCAAAATGTGCTTTCCTTCCTTCTTCCTTCACGACCCCTCTTTTTTTCTCACCATTCCCCTTTAGGAGCAACCCAAATTATAAAATAACATGTATACTTTCCATAACATATAGACTTTCCAGTTCTTCAAGATCCTGGAGTCACAATTCAGCCTTTTTCTATATGGAACCCCTCAGGTCCGGGGAACCATAAACTTCTGAGCTTGGTTGTTTGCTTGCAGATGTTTCATGACTCAAACTAGGTAACATCAGCACTGATGTTGCCTAGTATGAGTAAATGAAACCTCTGCAAGAAAACAGCCACGCTCAGAGAGTACCAAGGACCCTTCATTTCAACCCTGAGCTACAAATATTCTCTTTTATTGGGACCATAAACTTTGTGACTGCTAGAGTAGCTGCCTGAGGAGGGACACGTGAGTAAGGGAGCATAGAGAAACTGGTAGATGCCCAAATTGGTCTATGTTGGGGTACCCAGTACCCGCCCGCACCCGATCGCTCTTAGCCCCAAAAAGGGGGGGGGGAGAAAAGCTTCGATCTTCCCTCCTCCTCTCACCACTCGATCTCTGCCCCGGTAGGTTTCCAACACGGAGACCAGGCCACTGAAGGGGGACACCGCCGCCATAGCAACACTTCCGGGTTGGCGTCCAATCGCGTCACCCGGAGGCGAGTCGGGAGGGAAAGAACTACAAGTTCCAGGAAGCAGCGCGAGCCGTTGGCGGGAGATTTGCCGTTGCAGGCGGGCTGGTGATGTTTTCGGAAGGAATAGAATAGAGGTAAGTAATGTTATGTGGTTAGAAAGGGAACGAAGATAGTTATAAAAAGAAAAAGGCCGTGTATATATGTGGGTGTCTATGTTTCTGCCTTTGAATCGGTCTTGACTCTTCGTATCAGCCAAATCCCTCGCGTCTTCTTTATATAATTTTGCATAAAATGGCGTTTTTCAGAAGTGGTTTTTTCCCTTATCACTTCTTCTTGGGCCTGAGACAGGATGACTGGCCCAGGGTCAGTTACCCAGCTGGATGACTTAGTGTGGCCTTAGTAATATTGCATCCAGTTCTGGTCACCACAATATAAAAAAAGATGTTGAGTCTGGAAAGAAAGCAGGGAAGAGCAACAAGAATGATTAGGGGGCTGGAGGCTAAAACATAGGAAGAAGGATTACAGGAATTGGGTATGTCCAGTCTAATGAAAAGAAGCACTAGGGGAGACATGATAGCAGCTTTCAAATATTTGGAGAGGATCAACCTATTCTCCAAAGCACCAGAAGACAAGATGAGAAACAATGGTTGGAAGGAATAAAATGTTAAAAGAGATGCAATAAATGAATAAGGAAAACAATATGCAAGAAGGAAGTTAAAGCACAAGATGAACAAGTCATAACAGAGTCACTTATAACAGCTGTTGTTTCAGCCATCTAATCTGTTTAGATCACCCTGTTTCTGGTCTATCCTTTCTTTATAACCAGCCATCTGGTTATTACAGAAAGGATAGACCAGAAAGAGGCTGATCTAAACAGATTAGATTAGAATCAGTCTTATACTTTCCACAATAAACAATTGCCTACCAAATACCTGGTGATGTAAGTGGGTTTAAAATGCTACTTTTGTGTGGCCTACTCTTCCCACTGTAAAATTCCTGGTTTTATTTAATGAGATGCCTACCATTATAATAAAAGTGGCAGAAATAATTTATTTTCTTAATAAAATGCTTTCTATACTAGAATATTTATTGATTATGAGGCAAATAATATGTTTAATATTAACTTTAAAAAAACAGTAATTAGAAAGTTATGTTAAAAAATATTGAAGTGACATCTGTTTAAAGCATATTTAAGCTTTTAAGCAGATTATATGGCAAGTTTCTGTACATTATATACCAGTATGTTTATTTTTGTCTCTCTCCTTGTGTAGCAGTTGATCTGAGATTGCTGAGCCAGCCTGCTTTTAGGTGGAGTTGCATTAACAAGAAACAGTTCTGTATTTGTGATGTATTTTTAAGATATACAATGGAGGTCTTCATATTTTTCATGTTGCTTTTTTAGAAATCCAGTTAACCATTCAGAAAAACAAGTTTCAGATGTTTATAATGGTCTTTGTAATAGATAACGTTATCTTATAAACTATGTTGATATGAGACCATTTAAGATTATTACACTGTTTGCCTTAATGCTTCCAGAAATGCTTCCATATTGTAATTTTTATAAGTCTTGATGAAAAAATAACATACTGCATGAGGCAGGTACAGAAATGGATCAGGCTGAAGAAAAAACATTGTTGGAAAAGTATCCAGAAGTAGGGGAAAAATAAAAGTCTACTTCATGGCTGAAAAATAGCAAGGACTATCGTAGTTTTTCTTTTTAAAGTTTCAGCTGAAAGAAAATTGAAATAATTTCATGTACAGCCTTTTGGGTAAAGACAATTACTATTTAAGACAGCATTCCCAGAAAAAAGAATAGCCAGAAAAAAGTTATAAACAAAAATCCTGCACAATTATAAGCTCATCTTCCCACCCTAAGAATGCCAACTAGCTAAAACAAATTGTGGAGATTTCACCATTAATAAATATGCATTACATATATTGGGCCATTTTAATATGCACATATATCTGTATACATATAGGTAATCTTTGACTTACGACCACAATTGAGCCCCAAATTTCTGGTGCTAAGCAAGTCAATTGTTAAGTGAGTTTTGCCCTATTTTATGACTTCTTGCCATAGTTGTTAAGTGAATAACTGCAGTTATGTTAATATTGTTTTTAAGAGAATATGACTTCCCTATTGATTTTATTTGGCAGAAGGTCTCAAAAGGTGATAATGTGACTTAGGAACACTGCAACTATTATAAAACCTAGTCAATTGCGAAGCGTCTGAATTTTGATCAAGTAACCATGGGGATGCTGTAACAGTTGTAAGTGTGAAAAACGGCCATAAGTCATTTTTTTCAGTGCCTTTGTAACTTCAAATTGTCATTAAATGAATTGTTTAAGTCAAGGATTACACACACACACACACACACACACACACACACATAGAGACACATATGTGTATAAGTATATAGATAGGTGTGTATATTGAAATGGCCCACCAGATGTGTTATATTCCGATTCCTGTGGGCACTTGAAATTTCTGCCAGTCTTGCTGATAATTCCATTCATATCCAGGTTGATTCTGGTACCACTGGATGAGTTAGGATCTTGATGGGATTGCTTCTGAGTGGCATCTTTCGTTTAATGAAGAGAAGGACTAGGGGTGACATGATAACAGTGTTCCAATATCTCAGGGGTTGCCACAAAGGCAGGAGTCAAGCTATTCTCTGGAGCACCTGAGGGCAGGACAAGAAGCAACGGATGGAAACTAACCAAAGAGAGAAGCAACCTAGAACTAATTTCCTGACAGTTAGAACAATGAATCAGTGGAACAACCTGCCTCCAGAAGTTGTGAATGCTCCAACACTGGAAGTTTTTAAAAAGAGACTGAATAGCCATTTGTCTGAAATGGTATAGGGTAGTGGTGGCGAACCTATGGCATGTGTGCCAGAGGGGACACTCGGAGCCCTCTCTGTGGGTACGCGAGCTGTCGCCCCAGCACAGAGTTTGCTAGAGTAGCGAGCAAGTGATGTTTGGAAGCGACAGGGCAGTAAGTGAGCGAGTAAGCAAGCAACGTTTGGAAGCAACGGGGCAGTGAGTGAGCGAGCAAGCAAGAGGCGTTTGGAAGGGACTGGGCAATAAGTGAGTGAGCGAGCAAGTGGCGTTTCGAAGCTACGGGTAGTAAGTGAGCAAGTGGTATTTGGAAGCGACGGGGCAGCGAGCAAGTGAAAAAGTGGCATTTGGAAGGGTTTGGAAGCGACAGGGCAGTATGTGAATGAGCGAGTGACCAAGTTGCGTTTGGAAAGGTTTGGAAGCGACGGGGCAGTAAGCGAGTGAGTGAGCAAGTGGCGTTTGGAAGCGACGGGGCAGTAAGTGAGCGAGTGAGTGAGCAAGTGGCATTTGGAAGCAACAGGGCAGTAAGCGAGTGAGCAAGTGGAGTTTGGAAGTGTTTGGAAGTGACGGGGCAGTGAGTGAGTGAGCAAGCGATGTTTGGAAGTGATGGGCAGTGAGCGAGAGAGCGAGCAAGTGGTGTTTGGAAGCGACGGGCAGTGAGTGAGCGAGCAAAAAAGTGGCATTTGGAAACGTTTGAAAGCGACAGGGCAATAAGCGAATGAGCAAGTGGAGTTTGGAACTGTTTGGAAGTGACGGGCAGTGAGCGAGAGAGCGAGCAAGTGGTGTTTGGAAGCGACGGGCAGTGAGTGAGCGAGCAAAAAAGTGGCATTTGGAAACGTTTGAAAGCGACAGGGCAATAGGTGAGCAAGCATGTTGCGTTTGGAAGAGTTTGGAAGCTATGGGACAGTAAGTGAGCGAGCAAGTGGCATTTGGAAGCGATAGGGCAGCGAGGGAGCAAAAAAGTGGTGCTTGGAAGCAACGCAGTAAGTGAGCGAGCGAGTGAGCAAGTGGCATTTGGAAGCGACGGGACAGTAAGCGAGCGAGTGAGCAAGTGGCATTTGGAAGAGACAGGGCAATAAGTGAGTGAGCAAGTGGTGTTTGGAAGCGATGGGGCGGTAAGTCAGTGAGTAAGCCAGCAAGCAGTGTTTGGAAGATCAAGTGGTGTTTGGAAGAGACGGAGGAATGAGTGGGGGAGAGACTGGTGCCTTTGAAAGAGACGAAGAAGTGAGACTAAGCGAGAGGCCTTTGAAAGAGCCAGAGGAGTGAGTGAGAGCGAGTGGAGGCTTTTGTGAGCAAAGTGTGTGTGTGGGGGGCTTTTGCGAGCGAAGGGTGAGAGAAAAAGGGAAAAGTGAGGGGAAGAAGGGAAAAAGAAAAAGCATTGACTTTTTTAATTTTGTGTTTTTGTAGACTCCCAAGTCTTGAACACCCAAAAATGAGTACAGCAAAAAAAGCAAAAATAGATAATGGAAGATCATTCCAAGAGGCCTGGACAGAGTCCTTTGGAGTGATTGAACGCAGTGGGAAAGCATTATGTATTCTGTGTAATGAAAGTGTTGTGTGTCACACATCAAGTGTCAGATGGCACTTTGACACCAAGCACAAAAGTCTTGCCAAACTTGGTGAAACTGAAAGAAAAGAGTTTCTTGAAGGGAAATTGAGGAAATATCATTCCCAGTATCTTAGTTTTTGCAACAATTTTTCTAGAACTAGTCATCTGACAGCTGCCAGTTTTCAAATGTCACTGTGCATAGCAAAACATGGTAACCCTCTCTCTGATGGGGACATTATCAAAACAGCCATGTTGTCTGGGAGTAGTTCCCTTTTTCATGATTTCCCAAACAAGGATAAAATTACTCAACGCATCTCTGAGATGCCACTTAGCAGAAATACTGTTAAAGATCGAGTCCAGCGCATGGCAAGTGATGTTAGTCAGCAGCTCACCACTGACTTACAAAAGGCAGCCTGTTACTCCATATGCTTGGATGAAAGCACAGATATAAATAATCATGCAAGGCTAGCAGTAATTTTGCGATATGCTGTTGGTGACATCATGAGAGAAGAGCTGGTGAAACTGATATCTTTGCCTGAAAGAACACAAGGGATAGATATCTACAATGCTGTGATGGAGGCTTTTTTGTCACAAGACATAAGACCAGAAAAGGTGGTGTCAATTACTAGTGATGGGGCACCTTC